TTGTGTCAAAATCATTTTTCCTGTCGAAAATTGCCATCTCACGCACCATGTCATCAGTTGTTTCCATCTTGGCTGTCACGGTGGACTGTGAAATATTTAAACATAAAAAATGTTAAAGGGTGAACTGATTTTAAGTGTTGTCGCTCCCACTTTACGTCTAGTTCATGACTTTTTAGATGGAGAACCACGGGGACAAAGAGGAAGTGTGGTTTCTGAGAGTGACTCCATGGAGTTCAATGACTTATGCAATCTCAACTTGAATAGCTACTGTGAATTTCTAGTAATACCTTTGTTTTTTAAAGTAGAATGAAAGCTTTTTACTGGAATATGGGGGGAAATTTTTCTGGTATTGTGCAGGAGAATTGCAACCCTTTAATGTAAATGTCCTAACCCAAGTATTCCATCCCATGGGTTTGTGGGATTCAATGGTTGATCCTCACCAAGTGGTGGGCACAGCAAAGCAACAAGGGGAAGGGTCCAATCCGTTAAAGGAACCAGAGGACAAACTAGAGTCGTGCTGCAAGAAACAAAAAGGGGATTGATCAAGAAAGCACTGCAGAAGGTAACAATAGTTTAAATATATTAAGAGAAAAATGCATATTAATCTTGATTCTGAAAAAAATTAAAGTTATAACTTGTTTTATTTAATTAAAATTCAATTTAAAACTTAAAATTTTATTTTATTAAATATTGATATTCATATTTAAAATTGATTGGATTTTTAAATTAAGATTTTAATTTTTAGGTTAGAACTTTAAATTTTTTAAAATTTGGGGATTGATATGCATTAATCTCATATATTAATCATAATTATTTATGTTTTAAATTTTTACAGTAATTTGTTTTCCTTTCTCCATATGACCATGCCTGTTTGTTAATGACAGAGTGCATAAGAACTAGTTAGCATGTCAAACGATAATGCTGATGTATAGTGGCAAATTGCATTAAATTTCAGTAAATTAACTTTGTTTCTGGTTTTATTGCAGGCATCAGGAGAAGAGGTGGATGTTTTTTCATGGAAATATGTATTTAGAGTCAGTCTATGGTGAGCACATGACACGATGTCATCTCCTTTAGTAGTTGATCTTCGGAACCTGCTTAAATTTGATATTGTGTTTCCTTGTATATCAGAACTGATTAACCTGACATTTATTTGAACAGAATATTTACCACTCTATTCATTTTTAATAGTTTTAATTTAATTTTTTGGATATAAATTTTAGATAAAA